ATGCTTGGGAGGGTGGATGGACAGCACAGGAGAGGAAGGCCCTCTATGAGGTGGATTGATTCAGTGACTGGGATAATTGGGATGGGAGTGTCATAGACAGTGCGATTGGCACAGGACAGAGCGGAGTTTAGGGTTGTTGTGCATAGGTTCGCTTTGAGTCGCAGGTGACTCGACGGCACATAACAACAACAACAACAACAACAACAACTACTAAGTGAGAGGTACATATATTTATTTATGTTGAAATCTTGTAGTCTCACACCTTAGCACCATTCAATTGATTCTTTAGTGACTTGAAAATACTACCCCTGGCATTAGTTAAATATGCATTGACATCTTTCTATATCCATATTTTTCCCATTGATACATTATTTTCTTCGAAATTTAATCATTCAATAAATCACTTAACCTCATTAAGCTTATTTAACTAAAATAGGAAATTTTAATATTTCCTTCAGAAGACCATGAAGAGTAAAATAATAAATATCAATCATTACATTCCTTGACCATTTTAGTGACCATTATAGGTGTTTAGTAAATACTTGTTGATATTAATATTTATAGCTATTAAGCCTTCAGCTACTAACCCAAAAGTTGGGAGTTCAAAACCATTTAGTGACTCTAGAAGAGAAGAACTGCTATTCTACTCATGTAAGAGATTACAACCCAGTGGGAGAGTTCAGCCCAGTCATGTGATGTCATTATAAGTTAGAGTACACTCACAGCCACCTAACAACAGCAACAATAACATTATTATTATGAAAATTACATTATTTTAATTTTTGTTTCTTCGTAACATTAATGGATGTCTTTAAAAAATTACAAAACTAATTTTTGTGGAGTTGGAACAAACTCATAGCTGACCCTCCAGCAGGTTTTCGGAGACAATAAATCCTAAGAGGGGCATGGCCCATTTCCCTACCTTAGAAAAAAATGAGGGGTCATACCACCAGGGAAGGCTCACTTTGAATTTGTTGTTCAACTCCCTACAGACTGGGCAACCTCCCTAATGGATACCTAGTCAGTTAAAACTGGAGCACTGGTGGCTTAGTAGCAAGAATCTGCAGTACAATCCAGAAAGCATGCAATTCGATTCCACCAGCACCTTTGCAGGAAAAAATGGACAGTCTCCTCCTATGCAATTAACTGTCTCTGAAAACCCACCAGAGGGTCCTATGAATCGGTTCTGACTCTAAAGTACACAATAACAGGATAATACTACCCAAACTGTTGTGCATCTTTTCCCCCCAAAATATGAAGGCTGTTGTGCATTTCTCTTCCAGACTCTAGAAAGAGTAAGGGCCACGTGGAACGGCCATGTCTGATCTATACTGGCTTCATAAAGGGGAACTGTCCCTATCAACAGCATCAGTAGCAGAAAACCAATTCCTATGCCTCTTTCTACTCATCTCACTACCAATTTTAATACTTTGCTGGGTCCAAAATCTGATGCAGTAGCTCACAGATCACACAGAACCATGATATGGAAGTCAAAAGATTCTAATACAGGTTAACAGCAGAATAGAGTCAGGATAGCTCCCAAAATTTGCTCCCAGACTTGATTCTAATGTCTTCAAGCCTGTGTTATAAAGTTCACAGGCCTGCCAGTATTGCCCCCCACCCTAGTTGTCCAACAAGCTAGGCCAAAGGCTCTTAGCTCCAGTTCCAATGGTGTAGTAATCCAAAGGTCCCATCTTACATCAGGTCTCTAGTTCACCCATGGCTGATCTTTTCCTGGTAGTGAAGTGTCATCACTGTTGGTGGTATGAAAGTCTGTGGATTTGAACCTGACTTTGAGTTAACAGGGCACTTTTTACCACAAGACAACCAGAGCTCCTTTCTTAAGTGGTATTGGTTTGAAAAAATCTATTGGAAATCAAAGATAAAAGACTGGTCCTTTATACAGATAGCTTGAAAATTACTTAATTGAACTATCTTAGTCTGTAAAGACCTGAAAATTTTACCTTTAATTGACTTAATTAAACAAGCTCACTCTTTTTCTAAACCATTAGTAGACTCCTGTATATTGGCCACCTTTTGTTTTCTAATTTTGTAATTGATTTTTATTAGTTAATCTCTGTGTCTACGAAATTTGACAGATTGCTTATGAGAAATGTTATCAGGTTACCTTCTTATCAACAGAATGGATGAAGCCTTTCTTAATTAACACTTTTGATGGCTAAGATGTAGGA